TCACTCGGTCTGACTTATTTAGAATTCTAGATATATTCAAATTTCTAACTTTATTTAAATTTATACTTATATTAATAATTAATGTAACTGAGGAAAAGGCTTTTATTGAACTCTTAAATATTAATAAAGAGTTATGCAAGGAATTAGCTGAAAAAATAGCAACAAATGAATATTCTGAGAAAAAAATTCATGAACTTATAAAGAGATAGACAAATATTATAAGAATATATTCTAGCAAGATTCTACTACTATAAATCATGAAGATGAGATAATATCTCTTAAAAAAGAAATTATATCTCTCAAATAATCTCTTCGAAAAGCTTTACAGAATGTAAACAAAAGAAGAAATATTTATTATTTCAAAAAAAGCAGATACTAGAGCTAAAAAATAAGGTTAAGCAACTTAAGACCATATTTATGAAATAACTGATCTAAGTTAGAAAAAAGTTTCAAATAATAAAAAAATATTGGATATAAAATATACAATACAAGCTATTTTAGATAGGTAATTTGAGGCTTCAACTTCTTTAGCAAAAATTTAAATACATTTGAATAATACAGAAGTTATTCTTCCAAATAATATAAGAGGAAAATTTGATAGAGTTGGTACTAGGGTTCAGCAATTCAATTTGATATTTGAATATTTAATTTGAAAATTAAATCAATACAAATTCAAATTTATACTTGATTTGATTCGATCAAATTCAAATCAAAGAATAATTTATTTGATCAAATCTAAATTAATGTTTGATTTAATTCGATCAAATTCAAATCAAATATTCAAATATTTGATTTCATTCGAATCAATAGTAAAGCCATCTTTAAAGTTTCAGAAGTGGCTCTTATTAAGAAAACTATAGTAAAAAGCGCCTTCGCGACTTTTGAAATGCCATTTTTACTAAGAAAAACATAGTAAAAAATACTTTTACAGCTTCAGAGACGTTATTTTACTAAGAAAAAATAGTAAAAAACACCTTTGCAGCTACACAGACATTTTTTACTAAAAAACCTAGTAAAAAAATGTGTCTGTGGCTTTGGAAATGTTTTTTACTAATAAAATTGTTACGAAGCCACGATGGCGATTATTACTAAGTTTACTTAGTAAAACAGAAGCTGCAATGGCAGTTATTACTAAGTTTTCATAGTAAAATCGAAGCCGCGATGACATTTATTACTAAGTTTTTTTAGTAAAACCAAAGCTGCGATGGCAGTTATTACTAAGTTTACTTAGTAAAACTGAAGCCGCGATGGCGGTTATTACTAAGTTTTCTTAGTAAAACTGAAATGTAGAGTTATTTTACTAAGTTTAATAGTAAAAATTAACCTGTTATTAAACTTACTTTGTAAAAGCTATTTTTGAAAATTTTTAGTGTAATTACTAATATTAAAACTTTAGAATAACTTTATTTTAATATATCATTGTAAAAACTAAAAAATTTTATATTCGATTCAATTCAATTCAATTCAATCAATTTGATTTGATTTGATTTGATAAATATTTGATTCAATTTGATTTGATTTGATTTGATTTTGAGGACTCCTAAAGAAATCCTTCTCAGCAATAACTACTAGTCTAATTCAACAAATTATCTAATTAAAGAAAATATCAAAGATGAAATAACCTAAGAGAAATCCAATTAAAAGAGAAATACAAATCTACTACCAAAGTCCTATTCATATTAGCAAAATTTCTTTCTTCTAATACCCTTATAATGCAACTACTCTTGTAAGTTTACAGCATATTGGTTAAATTTTGAGGACAAAATTATTTCTCATTATATTCAAAATTAAAATGAAAGAAGAATTGTTACCAGCTAAAAATTCACTATTAAAAAGTTGATCTACAAAGAATAATTAAACGATTTGCAGAAGTTACTAGATTATGAAATTAGATGATTAACATAATTTCTGATTTTCTGGATTCTTAAGATTTACTTATAAGCTATAACCTTATTTTCATTATTTTAATTATTATCATTATTTTTATTATTTATATTATTATATTAATACTTGTAATTATAAATTTAGTTAATTTATAGCGTAGCAACTAGTTAGCTGTAGCAAATTAATTTTGTATAAATAGAATAGCTTTTTGCTTAAGTTGTAAATAAACTCTCTTATAAGTTCTTAAATACTTGTGAATTTTAAGTAATAAATAAAGTAATCAACTTTGAATAACAATTACTTTTCTCTTCTACACGTTCATAATTTAGAATTTGATTATGAACTACTATACTAACTTGCTTTTGAGTTCATCACTTAGAATAAATAAATTCTCTACATTTTTTCTAAGTTCTTAAATCTTTAAGTTCGTAAAGTTAAGTGAAATAATTTCAAGACATTCTATTTTGGATACCTGTAAGATATGAGATTTTCTAAGGTTATAAAATCTGACAATAAGGAACTTACTTGCTACAGTAAAATAACTTAACGAAACACATACGATAGAAGAGAATTATTTCCAGTAACAACAGACTATTCTATTAAAATTTAGAGTCTAAAATTAATGATAATTTTGGCAATAAAGAAAAATTTTAAGAAGAAAAGAAGAAATTCAAAAAGGGATTTTTATATTTAAAAAATTATCAGAAGAAAATTTTAAATATTTTGGGAAAATATTCTTTTACAGAAAAAGTAATAAAGTATTATTGGTATCTATTGGTTAATAACAATTATCAAATATAATAAATCTTATTTATGGATTGATAAATATGATGATCAAAATAAAAGAAATCTTATAATCATAACAAATGTAATATTTAAGTTCAATTTGATATTTGCACATTTAACATATTCGAAAAAAAATTTGGTTTGTATAATCTGTTTATCAAAGATATTTCTCATAATATTATTATTTTTGTTATTTATTATTTTATGTAAAATTTATATGTTATTTAATTTCTTAATAATTCTGTATATATTAGTTTTTTAAAAAATTATAAAAAAATAAATCATTATAAAACATATGGAATTTTAATACAGAATCATTAAATATATATATAAACCTTATAAAAAATGTATTATTTTCTTATTTAGATTTCTTATAGGTAAAACCACTGCAAAAGCTAAGTTTTTATTAATTTCTAACATTATTTACTTTTATATGTACTAATAACAGTATAATTAATATCAATTAATAAATTAATCAATCAGATTTATAAATGTTAATACTAAAGATAGTATAGCAATTGATTTCAAATTTACAAAATGTTGTAATATAAGCTAAAATTAGTTGCAACATATTAATTACAGTTTCCATCTTTAGTTAATACTTTATATTTGATAGTTTAATTACAATAAAATTCATAAGAAAATTATATAACGTTTATATAATATAGTATATAATAAAACTTTTTAAAGTTAAATATAATGATACATTTGTTTATTTAAAATGTATTAGTATAGTGAGATATCATTATATTAAAATAATCTTTATTTAACAATATAATAAAAAATACAATAATAAATCGATATAAAATAACTTTTACAATTCTATACTAGAATATAGAAATATTACATCTCTATATATAATATTATATTATATATTATTATATATAGATTTTATATCATTATAATATGAATATTATGATACTATGATACTAAAAGTATATGTGATATATGTGATATTTATCATAATATGAAATAAAGAGATTTATTAATTAAAATCAATATATAAAACCAATTTAATTATAACTGTTTTGGACAAGAGATTTTTTATCATTATAAGATATAATAAAAAACTCAGCTTAAATAATAAATCTGAACTGTTACATTCTGGATTAGTTAACATTCTTTTTTTTATTATTATAATATTATCTTTTTATATTATCTTTTATATTTTAATAAAATTTGTTGGTTTTCAATTAATATATTGATAACGTAATTCAATTATCAAGATAAAAAACTATAAACCTATTTATTTAATAATACTATACCAAAATTCATTTAAGATTTATATTAAATTTATTAATTAATTAGTCAAATAATTTGAAATAATTATATATTTTTTTAATTATATAAAGCAATTAAAAAAAGTTAAAAAATATATCGATCTAAGTAACATCAAAAAAAAAAAAATTAACATTCAAATAATGGTTAAATCACTAAAATGTCTTTTAGGTATTCGATGTATTTGGTAATTGGTTATTTCTCTATGATAATATTTCTTCACGTTCTTCTTCTTCTTCATCATCATCATCATCATCATCTAATAAATAATATTAAAATAGTTTTGAAAATACAATTATAATAAATTATATAGATTAGTGAAATTCATTGATTATAAAAAACAATAATAAAATTTCCCCCCTGTCCTCTTTAAATATCAAAAAAGGACAAGAAAAAATAAAACAATTACGTAATTTTTTTCGGACCTTGTGATTGATATGGAATACGGAAACAATTAATCTTTAAGTGTGAACAAAATTTGTTTATCACTAAAATAGCCCAATGGAAGTAAGCGACTATGGAGAAAATAAAGTAAGCCCACAAAAAAATATGTTCGGCCTTGGGAGATAAAATTGCTCCACTTATGAAATCCATGAAAAATATTATTAATAAGGAAATAAATCAATTTATGTCATTCAATTAGAATAATTACAACAAACTTACGTATCAAAGAGAAGGGGAATGTTTGTCAATACTGCGCCCACAAACAAAGGTATTAATAATACTGTATACATTGGGAACTTCATTTTAGTCACATGCGCCAATATAATCTTTGTCGCCACACGTCCGAATACAATGCCAAGTGTTAATTCGAATAATATTAAGTGTTTATCTCGTAAAATATAGGAATAAGGAGATGTAAGCCAAAAATAAGCACAGAGTGTATATTTAGCTAATGAGAAAAGCTGAGAACATGTTGAAATAAAAGATATTTCTCTTCGTTTACAATTCTTATACACATTAATCATGCTGAAGAAAAAAAAAATTAATTAATTTTTAATGATCCAATTTATTTTTTTTAAAAAAAAAGAAACAAAGCATTAATTAAGAATTTACCATTCAGGAATATGTAAAGTGCAGATAACGAAGGTCATAATCAATAATAATATATCTACAGAAGTCCATCCCTTTGGAATGAGTTTTGGCACCGAATCTCCAAATATATCATGCACATCTTGCGTCCACCATTCTGGTCCTATTATTCAGGATAGGGGAAATTAAATAAATACGCAAGTTCAATAGAAAGGGCGATCGGGTAATGTTAATCTACCTGTTATGGCCGAAACAAGTTGTAAAGCGCAGGCAATTATAAGTCCTTCAGTAGGACCATTAAAATATCCCAAGTATAAAACCCCAGTATGATATTCTTCCCATGTAGAGAAAAAAAAGGGAATGACTAAAAGAAGGAAAAAAGTTGCGGACCAGTAAGAGTGACCCATCCCCACTGCAGCCGAGAATACTATTGCACCAAAAGAACAATTCAAAGCATCGCAACCATGGTCAAAAAGTTCTCCAAGAGGAGACGAAGTTCCTGTCCTTCGAGCTTGTTTACCGTCAACATTATCAAATGTTGAATAAAGCCATAAACCGATCGGAAAACTATTAGTAAAAAGATTGCCGAGATTACATTAATAAATAAAATCGACTTATGAAAAAAAGAACCTTTGATTGAAAATATTATTTTTTTATTTAATTCGTCCGACCTGACGAACCAGACTATTAATTACCTCCAATATAGCCAACGTGGACCAGGACCTACGAGATCTGGAATCCAAATTATTACACCTATAACGTTTAATATAACGAAACCCAAACCACATAATGTAATCAAATTTGGTCTATTGAATGAAATTATAAATAAAAAAGAATTATTTTCGTGCAAAACATAAATGACAGAAAAATAAAGTAACTCACGCCATCCATAAGGGAAAAAGCTCCACAGCCCAATTCCAATATGGTTTAAGTACATAGTTGGAAATTGGTGACTTATCAATCGCAGAGTATTTGTACAATTTTAAGTTACTAAGAGCAACTTCACCAAGGCAATCTGAGTCTGCAAAGTTGACCATCGTTACTTTTTTGGTCTTTTTGGTACAATTTGATAAGGTTGAACGGTTTAACTTAGCGTTTCGCTCTTACGCTCACAACTATCAAGCAAGTCAAAAATCGAAATCGAATAGAATAAGAATGTTATTTATATATTAGAATCATTTTTTTTTTAATCAGTTTCTAATTACGGATTTAGGAATTGTACGCATCAAAGCATGTTGCAAAAAAACAAGTTTTTGCTTTCTATGTACACAAAATGATCCTCGCGTGCTAAAGGGAGTGTTGTTGTACAAAACTGCCACTCAATGTAATTGTTCTTTAATTTCTTTAATTTCAAAGATGTTATTAAGTAATGACGTAATAATGATTTTTTGGCGCCAATTCAAATCATAATTGACGCCGTCCTTACTCTCCGGTCATCAGTGATACACGAAAGCCTACAAAAGTCCTAATTTTAATGCATAAATAAATTAGATGTAACTTTTAAAAAAAAAATTTTCTGTGAATAATTCCATAATTAGTCCCACAATTATAATCCTTGTTCAGACGGTTCAGACGACATCACATGAAGCGTACGAAAAACAACAGGATAAAAATCCCAACACCACAAAGTGGGGAAATTATAACACTGACATATGAACCCCAACGCTTTAAGTTGATTTGGTGGGGTATTTTATTACAAGCGCTGCGGATCATATTATTTTTGATAAACACATTTGAATCGGTTTTAGTTTAGATTAATTAACAAATTAACGACTAATTTTAAAGATTTAAACCAATAAATAATTTTAATATTTATAATCATTTTTATATCAGTTTATTTTATACAATCATGCATTTATTTTTTATGAAAAATCAAAGTTAGTGATTAATATTAATAAATTATAAAATCTTAGATAAAATTTTAATTTTTTTATTGTTATTTTTTAAAAAGAAAACTTTAAAATTTTTTTTTAAATAAATTTGAATTTAATTTATTTATTATTAATAATAATCAGTTGTTAATAGTAGTTTTATTATATATTTATATTAGGAATGGAATCTATATGAATTCTGAATCCATCTAAATAGATGCGAAATAAAGATGCTATCCTAAACTACTAAAATTAGTTTCGGTTAAACAAAACTAGTTTCGGTAGTTTTAGCTATTAATTAAACTAGTTTTGACACTTAATGGTCAGGTGATACTATATGCCTTTTGTATTGCTATACAATTTTCAAATTGATGTATCTTTGCCAATACAACTCCGATTTTTATGAAATAAAAACCATCATTAATTTTTAATTATTAGATTAATGTTAACATATATAAAGTTTAAGTTACTATAATTTTATAACTATTATTTTAATTAATTTAATAATTTAATACTTAATTCATTGAGACGAG